AACCCTGAAACAACCTCTGGACTGATCTAAGTCAGGACATGGTTAACTCACAAACCTGAAACAATCTCTGGGCTGATCTAAGTCAGGGCATGGCAAACTCACAGATAGATTTTGATTTTAGCGTTTTAGGCTTTGCGACATTGAGAGACCTTACAAACTTAACTCACCTGTGATACTGAGTCCAGGAATCAAACCTGAGACCCCAGAGGCGAGAGACAAGTGTACACTACCGATACAGCACCCTTAAGTCCCAATAAACCTTGTATAACCAAAACTAGTTTTGCTATCCATAAACTTACTTAACTTTTTGCTTGTAAAATCATGCTTGATTTMTTTTCAGAACTCAAGGAAATTCGTCATAATTACATCCGTACCTTTCTGTTCTGGACCGACTTCTTGTCTGTCCTACCGTTGGAAATCTTTGCGTTTACCGTAGCCCCACTTCATGAACGCTGGCACGCAGTGACATTTCTCAGGCTTAACAGACTCTTGAAAGTCCTTCGGGTAAGTTGAGTGATCTCTTCCTTTCATTTCGAGGGTTCTTTCTAAAGACTCTCCGTTTTTTCTGACTCCTCAAAACTTAACACGCTAATTTGCATCTTGAACTGTACACTGTAAATAAGGTGTGCCCTGAATTTGAACAGCCCAAAGGCTACTTTAGGATGTAAATAAAACTTGAGGAAGTAAGAAATAGCAAGAGAATGGAAAAAAGTTAAGGAGATCTGATATTTCTTTTGTTATTTTTTCTTGTTCAGATGTCAGCGTTCTTCAGCGAGCTAGAGGACAGATTGGAATACAATATTGGCAGAATTCGAGCTGTCAAGTTTGCTATCTACATTACTCTTGCTACCCATCTCTGCGCCTGTTTGTGGTTCTTTGAGTCTTGTTATGGCGAAAGGTGAGACAAAAAGCCCGCAGTCTGTTTATAACTGCTTCTCACCCCTGCCTCAGTGCGCCTGTCTGTCATTCTTTGACACTTGTACATTTATGATGTTAATGGTTATGATAATGATGATAAAGATGATGATGGTGGTGGTGGTGATGATAATGATCGATGATGATGATGATAAAGATGATGACGATGGTGGTAGATGTGGTGGTGGTTGTGTTGATGATGATGATGATGATGATAAAGATGATGACGATGGTGGTAGATGTGGTGGTGGTGGTGATGATGATCAATGATGATGACAATGATGATGATAGTGGTGGTGGTGGTGATGATAATGATGATGTTGAGATGCACATAGGTGCACTAGTTGCACATTTTTATCCACCTTTGCACCTCTCCGTAGCTTTTTGAAACTTGTCTTGACAAAGAGTTTTTGCTTCATAACAAAAGTCCTATGCTCTTCGTACCACCATCATGGCTGCCATGCATATCTTCATCATTTTATTTTGTTTGGAGTGCTTGATAACCATCATTTACTTATATTGGACCTCTGTTTATATCTATAGCTGTGCCCATGGAAGCTGGGCCCAGCACATAGCCAAACTCGACGTAGGATTAGACGAGTACATAGCATCCATGTACTGGGCTGCCGCCACCATGTCCTCCACAGGATATGGTGACATTCATGCTCATTATGTCTCAAGCCAACTTGTTGCGGTAGTGGTGATGTTTTTTGGGATGATGTTGTATGGGTACTGCTTGAGTAGCATCGCTGCCACCCTGGCCAATTCTGCTTCACCTAAGTAAGTACAGAAAGATAAATTGTTTCCTCTTGTTTGTTGGTTTTTATTTTATGCTCTTAAAGTCAAGACGTGAGTTGGGAGTTGCATGCATAGAATATTGAATGAAGTGGTAGTGTATACATACTGAATTTATTCGCCCACAACAAAACATTTCATTATTATTATCATCACCATCACCATCGTCATCGTCGTCGTCATCATCATCAGTTACAACCACCGGCATCATCACCATGATCACCAGAATCATCATCGTGATCGCCACCATAATCATCACCATCATTATCATCATCATCATCGTCATCATTATGACTCCTATCTATAATAAACCTTCAAAATTTTACACACACTTTCAATGATATAATTTGCCTTAGTAACAATAGCCGTTGTAACTAGATGTGTCTAGACGCAGGGACGTGATGACAGCTCTCCTTCAATCCCTTCCCTTGTTCCCCACCCCTCCCCCATAAAGCCAGCAGTGCTGTTTCATAGCTGTGCTTGGTGTTGGTGTGAGATTATTTTACAAATTTTCTTATCCTGTTTTACAGAGTGGAGTTCCTTGAGCGAATCAATGCTGTTGAGACGTTCATGGTCAACAACAACCTGTCATCTGAGTTGATAGCACAAGTCCATCGTTATCTTACTACTTTGTGGAATATTCATAGGTAAGAATGTCTTGATTAACATTGGAGATCAGCTGACTAGTAGACCGATTGAACAACTGACCCAATCGACCCACGGACTTACTGCCTGTTTGGCTGACCGACCGACAAAATGAGTGATTGACTGACTAACTGACCAACCGACTGACAGAATGACTTACTAACTGACCGACCAAACGTTCAACTGAATAACTGACTGACTGACTGACTGACCGAATGACCGACCGACCGACCGACCGACCGACCGACCGACTGACTGACTGACTGACTGACTGACTGACTGACAAAATGACTAACTGACCAACCGACTAACTAACGAACTGACTAACTGTCCAACCGACTGACTGACTGACCGACTGACTGACATGTTGACTGACTGACTGTTTGTTTGCTTGTAGGGGTGAGGTCATTCCTCGTGCAAAGCGATTGATGGATGACATGCCGATATCTCTACAACAAGATGTGACAGCAGGAGAAGCCAAGGAAGTCATAGAAAAGGTGTTGAAAAATGTTCATGATAATGAATCAATCGTTGCTCTTTCTAGTACTATTGATGTTACTGCTGTTGTTGTTGCTGTTGTTGTTGCTGCTGTTGTTGCTGTTGCTGCTGCTGCTGCTGTTGCTGTTGTTGTTGCTGCTTGTGTTGCTGTTGTTGCTGTTGTTGCTGTTGCTGCTGTTGCTGTTGTTGTTGCTGCTTGTGTTGCTG